TGGAAAGGCTTGGATATGGTCATTGTCCTCTGGTAAGCTTTTCTGTAAATCATTTCAAGAATTCTACGCCCCTTTCCTTTTAAATTCTTTTCTTGAACATGTTCCAATCCTTCACATATGTTCTTTCTTTCTCCTTCCAATTCTAGTGCCAAAATTCCCTGTCTATCTTTGTAGGCAATCTGGCTACTGCCTTTCACTGGGAGGAGCACCCTCCTTCGCACTGAGCACCTGATCATTTGAATAAACTTTTCAATCATACTGCAACATGGGGCACAGACTTGACCTTACAAAAAGCATTTTAAGATCAAGCTCAGCCTGAAGATAGGTCTAAATTAAAAGTCAGCAAGATAAACTTATTTAAATTAAACCTGGTTGCATTTAAAAAGTGCAACAAAAGGAATGTGCTATTGCAAACCTCACTGTTTACTCAATAACATGTAAGCTGACAGTGGCAGCTTTGTGCTGGAAGTCTGGATGCTAGAGTGGTGCCTTTAGGAGAACAGGATCTTCTGTAGTACTTATAAGGTAGATTATGGAGCACATACACACACAAAATTGAGGGCAAGCAAAAAAAAAAAAAAGGAAGAGATAAGAAAAAAGTAAGGTTCTCTGCTTTAAAACACAATTAATCAAATGCTGAAAAGTTCCCCTGGTAGAATGAAAAGCTAAGGAGAAGAAATCACCCACCCACTGACCTGTGAGATCAGTGATTTTAAAAGATCAACACATTAAAGGGAGCTACCATGAAGGATATTACTTTAGCGGTTTAAATAAGAGTTTATGCTTTGACTGGAAATAATAGTATCTGGCAATACTGAGAGAGATTGAGTCCTCATGCAAAATTAAATGTAAGGATATTTGTACAAATGTTGAAAAACACTATTATTTTCCTAGAAGACACTAATCAACGCAGGAAAAGTAAAGCAATAATTAGAGTTGACAAGAAAATGTGTTGACAGAACCCTTCAAGGTATCGCTTTCTGATCTTCAGATGGAGTATGAATGGCCAAGCCCTTGCCCTCAAATGCATCTATGCAAGATTTTTTATGTAATAGTTGGATAAATATGATAATATTATTTGAGCCGCCACATTAGAAGCTTTGGGCAAACATTTTTTAAATAAATAAATTGACAGGTGCAGCAATGACAGTTCTCAAAATACTTTGATAGGATTTTTGTTACTTCCAGTAAGTTACTCAAATGTCAATATAAAATGTTACTGAAAAATTTAGCTAAGATATACTTTAGAATTTCAGACTTTAATTTTAAATAGAATTTTAGGATACTTTTGGGAGAATTATGTAATTATAGTAATATATGCTCATTTAAAATATGTAGAGCTTATATAGATCACACCATCACAGACATTAATTAAGGATGACTATAAAGTTGTAACTTGTGATTTTATTTATTTAGCAACTTGATCCCTCATCCAATATGATCTACCTGTAGGAAAAAAGCAGCTTTCCAATATATCCTAGATATCAATATATTAAACCTAAACTTATTCTGCAAACTATGAAAATAATGTTACAGTTAACATTTTTTTATATAAAATCAATTTGAAACTATTTCTGTATTCAAACTGAGTGGAAAGACAACCTTTAGGAGATATTTTACTCAAACTATACCATTCCTGAACTCACAATGTCTCTCTCCCCAACCCCAGTCCCTGTTTAAAAAGGTTCCCAAGTTAGCATTCTTCATTTCTTGTCTAAAAATAGAAAACTTGAATAATGAAGGTCAATTAGGTTTGTCTTGTTTATTTCCAATTAAAGATTGTTTTCATGAACGCTAAGAATTTCATAAACTTGCTCAATTATGTCTAAAGAGCTTATGTATTTTGCCTAAATCATAGTTTCCTAAAATTCCAAAATTTGCCTCCATGAAGTCTTAGGTCAAGTGGATTAATTTAGAAGACAAAATCCAATGGACAAAATAATTTGGATAAAAATTATTTGGGATAACTCTCTGATGCTTAATTTAGGAAATTAACCTATTGAAATTTCTGGCCCTTAGAAAGTCATTAGAAGAGGAGGAGTAATAGTCATAATCTCGCACAGGCCCAAGCCACTTGGAGACCACCTGTCAAGCATTATTGACCTTCCTACCTGAGCACAGGAATGGTGGGGGCAGTTTTATGTGAGAAAAGGCTTGACCACCAGAAACTTCTTCCCAATTACCTAACACGTGCCGACATACTTCCAAACAGCAGCTACAATTTAAAGTCAGGAGCCCTACTCCTGATAAGGGTGGAAAGTGTAAAATATCAAAATAAATATCTTTCCATTGGACGATAAAAGCTCAGCCTGATGGCTACTGGTGGCAACTGTTAACTATGCCAGTGGGGGAGCCCTGGTCTGGCCCGAGCCAGGAGGGGCACTGAGGACATATTTGTGGGAGGATTTTCTGAACATGCCAGAGGACCCTACAATAGCACCAAAAGGGTATACAGTCACCTGAAGGATCCCTCATTTCTTTTTCTCCAGTTTCTTCCTACTTTTCAGCCATCTGAAGTTAACATTCTCACCCCTTTCGTGGGCCCCAGTGGTTATACAGATCACTGAGCACCAGGGGCCTCTCCGTCACCTCCCTCTCCCTGGGTATAATCCCTTCCTCCTGTGGGCCTCCTCATGCACCTCATACCTGCCAAGTGTACAGCATCTGTCAATTTCACTATAATCAACTGTACAATTTGCCTGTTGTTTTTCCAAGGTTGATCTGCTGTCCCCAAAGATGCCTCTCTACTCTGTGTGTCAGTCTTTCTTTGCTCTCTAGGTCTGTTTCTGACTAGAGGTTGTTTTTTTCCTTCTGGCTTCTTCCTTTCCAGCCGGTTTTTCTCTTCACATCCCCTGACCTACCTTCCTCCCACTGTCATTCCTTCCCACTTACTCTCCTTGGAACAGGCAACTTATCTCTCCATCTTGCAGGGCTGAGTTTCTCTCTAGTGTCTGCCTCTGTCCCTCAGCCTGCTTATCTGGCTTCCCCCAGATGGGCCTCCCCACTCCATGCTGGTGCTGGTCTCTTTCCTGCAGGTGCACCTGTCTGGGAGTACACATGCAGTATTGTGTTTCTTGTATCTCATTGCATTCCTATTGCTGGTGTACACTGACCTTCCAGTCATACATGAGACATTTTCCCCTGGGATTTCATGATGTGTAGGTATCTCCCTCCCTCTGCATGCACTGCTCCCTCCCTTCCCAGATCTGAATGTTTCTCATTTATATGCCTCTCTGGTGGGTAACATATGTGCCCTGAAGTGTACATCCATGTGTCCACTCAATTCTGTGAGTGCCCTCCCAATATGCTAATTTCTCTCTCTCCTGATGTTTACACGTACACTGTCATGTGAGTTCATGTATTTCCCAAGCTGTGCACAACTGAATGCCTCCCCCTGTGTGCATGTTTATGTAGCGGGCCTCTCTGAAGGTGAGCCTTTCTTGGCCCAGGTTCATGAGCTCCCAGTGAACCAGGGTTCACACCTCTCCTGTGGCTCTGCCTCCAACTCAGTCTTCCTTCTATGCATTTAAAGTGCCTGGCACTAGTGGGAGCTCAACAGATGTTAAATCTCCACTTTTATCTGAATAACTGAGTCCCCATCTGAGTCTCCCTCTGTGCCAGTTTTCTGAGATCAGGTCATCAGAGCATGTTTCCTTGGTCTAGACTGGGCTATTTGTCAGGATACTCTGTGGATTATACCTCCCTCCTGGGTTATATCTCCCTCCGTCTCTCCTCTTCGAGTAAATGTTACCCGTCCTCATACGGTATATACCTCCCCTTGTGTAACGTGTCCACTCCGGTCTCCCTCATTCACACACAGTACTGCATGCCCATAAACGGCTTCCCCATGCAGGAACCCTGATTGCGGTGTCTTTTTTCTGTGGCTCTCCTTGTCCCTCACTTTTTTTCCCCCATGTGACAATGCGTTCTTGGATTTGTACTCCAATTGCGGCATATGTGCGTCCATATGAGCATTTGCTGTACTTGAGTTGTTGCCCATGGGTCTCTCTCCGGAACCCGGTACGGAGTAACACACGGGATGCAGTATATCCCCTCCCCGACCTCACCCTCTCGTTCAATGTCTCTATGTCCGTGAGTCTCCCTGGGACTCGAGGCTTACTTCGGGTACGAGAAGCCTCCCCGAATCTCTGTCCTCAGAAACCAATGCCTTGCTCCTAGAAGAGGGCTGGGCGTGCATAGCTAGCTCCCTCGATCGCGGTGTTGGTGCGTCTCTGAGAAGGCGAAGCGCCTGTGTCCCCGAGTCTCTAGGAGTACGGTGGATGAGTGTGTCCCCCTCCTCACTCGTTTGCGGAGCGCCTGTGTCCCGGCCTTTGCTAGTACATGGCGTGAAAACCCACCCCCATACGCGGAGTGCCTGTATCCCGATCTCTGCGAGTACACGGTGTGCCCCGCCATACACGAAGCGCCTATGTCCGTACGTCTTTGAGAATACAAGCTGTGTACCATCGGTATACGCGGTCCTCCCGTGTCCCGATCTCTGCGGTCATGGTCCCTATGTGTTACCCCCCAAACACAGGCTGCTTGTGCCCGCGAGTCCTCCGGAGTTTATTACCGGCATGCTGTAAACCCCACCCCCCAGTGGTGGGAAGCGTAGTTATCTCACTTGTCTCCCTGGTACCTCTCTCCTCAATGGGACAGAAAAAGCCAGGAAACCCGCGGGCGCCGTCGGAAAGTCCCGCAGAGGCGGCACTGCCAAGGTAGAGCAGCGGCTGCCTCGGCCCCGCCGCCAGGGGCCGCTCGCCCGCCTGCCTCTCAACGCCCCAGCACCTGGCTGGCCCAGGACGGCGTCGTCAGCGACCCTGCCCGACCCTGCCCGGCCCTGCCTAGCCCTGCCTCCGCGGGCGCTGACAGCAGCGGCTGCGAGCCACAGTCCCGCCAGCCCCGCGCCAGGTGCGGGGGTCAGGGGGAGGCGCGGCCGGGTGGCAAGGGGCGTCCTCCCCCTCCGCAAGCCGGGCGGGTCGACCGGTTGGCTAGCTCACCTTGTGGCTTTGGTAGGTCTCGAGAGCCCGGATCGCCGTCTCGGTGAGCTTCACATGCAGCACAGTGATGTTGTCCTGACCCAACCGTCCGCACGACAGTCCATAGCGCTGCTCTTCCCGCAGGCCCGCCGCCCCCCCTGCCGCCATCTTAAACTCCCCGGGGTGCCGCCGCCGACGCCGCTCCGGCTCTAGTCTCCACTGCGGCCGCGGCTGCTAGCGCTTCTGCAGCCGCCGCCACAGCTACGGCCATCCCGCTGCTGACGTACTGTCATATACTGCGCGCAGCCAGACCTCGGACTGCCACCGCCGCCACCCGCCCCACCTCCTGCCCCCTCGCCCCGCCCCTAGCTCGTCTCATTGGCCCCCGTTCCCCTCAGGACCTCCCTCATTGGTCGCCACCCTCAGGGGGGCGGAGCCCAAAGTCGCTGGAGTTTTGCTCTCCGGACGGGACGTCCGAGAGGTGAGAGGCTGACGTCGAGGTGACGCGCTAACTTAATTACATCTTACGTCACGTCTTGTCGTTTAGGCTCGCTGGCCGCTATTGGTCAGCCTGGTTTTATGGGATCCCCTGCTATTTGGGTGGCTAAGGTGCCTGATCTGGATTCCTGGAGTCAGAGCCCTGCCTCTTGGGGGATAATAGTGGTGGATAGGGGAGAGTCTCTTCCTGAGCTGGGGGTCTTGAGAGGAGGACCCTCACCCCACATGTGTGTCCCAGTAAGGACTTCGTCCCCCGACGGCCACGGGAAGCTTTTGGAGATTAGTGTGTGCGTGTGAGGGAGGACGCAGTACGTGGAGTCACTGGTGAGCTTCTCCTGAAGACTCAGTTTAGTACTGTGGAGCAGGTGGTATTTTCACCCTAAACTTGAAATTCCCGAGTTGACCCTAGACTTTAGGTTTGTGTTAGACTGTATGGAACATCTTAAGTACAACACTATCCCTAAAGGCTTAAATGCCTTTGATGTGGTGGGCATGGCATTATAGGAAATGGAACTTCAAGGTCTTTCCCTGCCATGCCTGTTCGTGATTCCATAGAAACATATTCCGTTCCTCAGGATTTCGCCCTAGGCAGGGTTGTGTGTGTCTTTTTATGGAGGGGCGTTCCTGGTTGGGGTGATATCTCCTTTTAAAGGACTGTGGAAGAGTAGAACTAGCCTCCACCCAAACTAAATAAAACATCGACACCTCTCATTCTCTGGTTCTATTTGAGTTCTGTCCATTTTATTTGACAGGGATGCGGGAAAACCTAGCTGGGATTTAAGCTATTCATGTTAAATGGGGAAGTTAGGGGTGCGAGGGTGTGCGGAGGCCGGGCATATTTTCCATTCTTCACGAAGCTCCGTGTGTAGGCGTGGCTAAAAGAGGAACCTCATCTGAGCCCTTTCGAGGCTGTGTGTGTAGATAGACTGACAGGCTTTCCGTTAGAGAGGATGAATTAACTGGGTGATCAGAAACACCAGATAAAAACCAACTATTGAAAATCTTGAAACTGTTGAAAGACAGGTTTTAAAAATGACTTGAAAATATATTGAGAGGCTTGTTGTTTTCCTCAGATTGTAAAACCTTGTTGCATTTTACAGGGATTCCCCAGAAAAATTTATAGGCAATATTTCCCATCCTTTTACACTGGATAGGGTTAAATTTTCCCAAAAGGTCCAAGTGGGAGTTTTGGGAGTTTTTCATTATTTACACCGTCCCCCCCCCGCCCCGCCCCCGCCCCCCGTGCCTGAATAAATCCCTTCCTCAGCTTCCTTTGCCCACAGGTCCACTACCTCTTGATTCAGGCTCTCAAGCATTGTATGTATACAATATGAATTACAGAACTAATTCTTCTTCTGTAGAGATGGGTTAAGTGAGAACACCTGTATTAAGAGTTGGTTACATCACAGAAGAGCATTTTTTTAAATTGACTGAATTTCAAACCACTAGAATTGGCTAGCTGTTAAGACATGATTCACACTTGTTAATTCAGTTTACTAAAGTGGTAATGATCTTAAATTCATTGTATAGATATGTAAGGCAATCACCAAAATATTGAAAACATAATTTTATACTTGAATTATTTGTGTGTGTTTGTGTGTGTGTTTGCTTTACTTTGATAGGGAAGTATTTACTTGGACACATCTAAAGCCTTAATTATTTGTCAGGGGGAGGAGTTTCACCAGGACAAGTAAAACCTGTATCCCACTGCTTTTCCTGTGAATGTGGGTAAATCCCCTCCCACATGGCATCTTAACATGGCCTTCTCTTACTCAGAACTTCTGATGACATCTGGGGTGGGGAAGGAACAAGGGTGGTTTTCACTGTAGTTTTCAAATGTCTGACTTGCAGCCACTTTCTAGTAATTGATTTTCTTTTCTTAATTGTAGTAGGAAAAAAAATGTTGTCATGCCCTGTTTTAGTGGGTAACAATCTTTCAATGGATAATAAACTATTGTAGTGAATTATTGTTTGTATTTTTCCTCTTTTGAACTTTTTGACTATGGAAGGAAGCAATGACCATATACAAAGTCATAAGGGAATCTACTAGTAATGCACAGTACCCATTATACCTGCCTGAATCAGATGGGCAAATTGTGATACTGATAAATGTAATTTCTTTTGAGAGGGCTGATAAAAATTGCTCTTTGGGAAATTTGTCATTTTATAAATATTTTCTGGATTATTATTCAATCTGAATAATTAACAAATATTTAATGTCAATTAAGTGTAAAATACTGTGGGGATTTTAAAAATTAAATGGTATAGTCTTTAAAAGATTTTTTTGTTTAATATGGTGAATGAACTAACATACTCAAAGCAAAACAATTAGAGAATAAATGCCAACTTGGGTGGTAATGGTGATAAGCTAAAAAATTCAAAGAGAGGAGGTCTGGAGAGGTTTTGTGGAGGCAGTGAAACTTAAACAGCTCGCAAGGGCTGAGTAGATTCTAGATAAGTGGAGGTGGCACAGATTGGGAGAGACTACCTAAAAATGATCTTAACGATCATTCTAAGTGGATCCATTCATTTTATGAATGAGGAAATGGAGACACCGTTATTTTAAAAGCAACTGGCTGTCAACCTTAAAATTTAAACAGCAGAAGTTATTCAAGCAGCAAATGAGTTTATTTGAGAATAGCAGAGGAATTGCAATTTAGGATATACAAAGTATAGTGAACCATAGGCAAGTTCAAAGAGACAGGATAGGTCAGCTTTTGTTGGGTTTCAGAAGGAAGTTGGGGAGAGTTATTTTGAACAGGAACTCATTGGTGGAAAACGAGAGTTTGAGGTTGTGGTGGTTTTTTATTGGCAGCAAGTGAAGAGCAGTTGCTGATCCTGAGGCAAGCAGGGAAAAAACCATCCTGTTTGCTGGCTGTATAAGCTTCCATGAGGGGTAGTGTGGGAGAGCTCTCCCTTCATAGCTTCCTGACTCTGATTTGAACGTTCCCTTCATTCATTTTCACACTACCTAACTTATTACAACCAGGAGAGACATGGTCTGAAATCAGCTGTTTGACTGTCCTGCTAGTCACTATACACACTGAGTAGATATTATTTGGGTTTAATAAATGAGAAAAATATGTCTTACATGGTAATTCAATGCAAGGAAAAGGCAAAGAGAAAGTAACCTGAGGGATCCCTGTTCTCTCTTTGATGTTTAGCATACAGTGTAGGCAGGAGGATGTGTGAACATCAAGGCCTTTCCTGGTCTTCAGATGCCAGGCCGCCCCTCATTCCTGGTTGCTACATACTTACTAACCATTTCTCACTTATCCTTTGGAGCTGAGGTCACCAATTCAGATATCTTAAGGGCAATTAGCTACCCAAAATGAGTGAAGCAGGTCAGACGCAGTGCCACAGGTACTGAAGGTGCTGGACCGTGGTGAGCTCGGAGAGTTTGAAGGGCTCAGTGGTTTTCAGGTGCAGCTGATTGTTGCCAGGTGAAGTTGCAGGGGTCCAGTGTTGTCTAATCTTCTTCTTTTTCAAGAAAGGATGGGAATTGCAGACTTTTCTGATTTTTATTTGTTGGCTAAGTTTCAATAAACAATTTGTGGACATTAAAAGTCTTTAGGCCTGAGTTAGCCTGCGGCTTTCTAGTTTTCAATCTCTGCTTTAATAATTTCCAGTACAAAAGGCCATTCTGTCTTATACCTGTCTTAATACCTATCTTTGCGAGTTATTTGTTAAAGCCACTTATAAAAACAGTTCGTACTAATGTCTTAATATGAGGCAATGGCTTCTGGTATGATAAGAGAACACAGAGCTTTATGAAGTTATAGCAGAGAAACTCTGTGAAAGAATTTCCAGGTAGAAACTCTTTCTGTCTGGAATTCTCCCTGATGCTTCCTGCCCTGCTGTGTTTGGCCTTGCATCATTACACTGCTCTCCTGTCAAGACTTTGTTCAGTCCTGTGCAAAAATCTCCTCCTTTCCTTGAACACAACTGAGGTAGGGACTTGATGGTGTTAAAAGAACTTCACTAAATGTTTTCAGAGAGTAATTGTGAAATGCCTATAGGAGGGACACTAATATTTGCTGTCTAAACACAGATTTTAAGCTGGACAACTATTGTATCATGTATGATTATTTTTTACTCCATTCCATTTAAGTATAAGAACTGTTACATTGCATTATTTATCATCATCATCATCATCATCATCATCACCACCACCACCACCACCACCATTGCTAAATCTGGCTCTGAGCCCCTGCCCCCACCTCTCTGTATAGCAGAATAACAAATCCACAGGTCTTACAAAGGTCCTTTGTAAGGATATATGGGGAGGCCTCTCCGGTCTTTGTCCATCACTGCTGGTATCTATTAGAAGCTCAAGTATTTCTTTTCAGGAAGCATTTAAAAGGTTTGGGTGCAATTTAGATAGAAGGAACCAGTAACCTGAATTGAAACTGGGTTTATATAACAATCATACCAGTTTTACTTAGATTGTATATTTATTTGCTGGTAGGATTGAGGGTGGCACTGATAAGGATTGTGAGAAGGGAGGCTGAAGCTCTCCCTAGCCACTATTGGCACCAAAACTTACATGGATCATCTTCGTGGTTTCCTGAAAGGTATAGTTCATCTGAGAACTAGGTGAGACTAGAAGCAATGGGGTACCGGATCTAACCACCATCTTCTGATGTGCGCTTGCTTTGGGAGCTGAAAGGACAGTGGACTTTGGTTGTACCCTCCCTGGAATTGGCAACCTCTGCCCCTTCCCAATCTTGGGGGAATCTATCCCACCCCTAGACTTCCACCTCTATATTCTCTTAGTTTCCGAAGTTCTTTCCTCCTCCTAAAATAGTCTGGTTCATTTAAAAA